TTGCTGATCACACTTACTTTATCCAGTTCCATTTTTTTGAAGTTCGAACTAGCTGCCATGTTTTATTGAAATTGGACTATTGGATTTAAATGTTTTATTGAAAACACTACACTCAATTTTTTTTTCTTCAAGTGCAAACTAAGCACATCCAATAAAAATGAGTTTAAATAGATCAAATTCTCAATTGTAGATGATGATGTTTTCTTTATTTATTTATTTGTCTCTTTAAAAATGTGGAAACCGGTATAGTCACTCGAAGAAGAACTTTTAACTTAAAAATGTGGTTTATGTAAAATCTTAGCTGAAGTAGTGAGCTGAAGATGTTGACTTGTTGAAAGCGAACCAAATAGTGATTTCGAAGCTGCAAAAATGTCAATTTATATCCTCTCTAATGATAATGAGATGGCGAAAAATGGACAACCGGGGGCGTGCCCGATGTGTTTGTGGCGACTTTCGCCATTTTTGCAAATGACTAAATAGAGTTAATTAGTTCTCCATTTTTCACCATCTCTAATGTTCAAAGCAAAGGTATGAACTCTGAACTTACAATGATTTCGCATGTTTGTTTTATACACAGTGGCACACTTTTTGCAGATATGGCATTCATATCGTGGAATTTTACAAACTTTTTTTCGGCTTTCTCTAAAAATCTACAGAAACAACCATGGCAATGGAATAAAACTTGTTCGAATATTAAAATAAAGAGAAATTAAGATGTAGATGAATTTTCAATTTATTTAAGTCAAAAATATGTTCCAACATAAGGTTGATGACAAGGAATCGCTTGAATGATCATTTGTTTAAATGAAACCGAATTAAAATACAATATAGTTTGTGTTAAGTTTATGATTTTTTTTAAATGAATGTGTTGGTATAGCATAGTCAATTAGATCAGTTCCGGTCTAGAATTTCGAGATATCATCAAACATTGTTTGAATTCATGGATTGATTCTGGTATGGATGTTGCCCAAATGATCCTTCAAACTAGACTTCTGTGTAAAACGCTTCATACAAATCTCGCATCGAAATGGTTTTTCACCGTTGTGATTTCGCATATGCCTTTTCAACTGAGCTTTATCCACATTGACATACTTCTTGCAGATATGGCATTCATATCGACGTGATTTGCACACTTTTTCATGTGATGCTTGATCGGACTTCTGGAAAAATCCTTTGAAACAGCCTCGGCAATGGAACGGGATTTGTTCGGTGTGAGTCACTTTGTGCTTTTTCATATTGGCTAACCGGGTGAATTCTTGGCGACAAATATCACATTGAAACGGCTTTTCACCGGTATGAGTGTGCATGTGTCGTTTGAAATTTGTGCTGTCATTGCTGGAATGTTGACAAATTTGGCACGTGAAGTGCTTCTTGATCTTGAACTGATTTGCTGGCATTTTGCTCTTTAATGATTTTGGAGTCGAACGAGCATTAACCATTTTTCTTGGGTGTCTGGCCGATCTTTTCATTTTGGTTTCGATTGATGATCCATCCTTCACTTCCAGCGCCTCTTCTCCCATCGTTGAGTCAGTTACTGTGTTGATGCCATTCCCATCTTGGCTTTGTAAGACTTCTTTGTGGTAGTCAAGACCAATAGAGCGTGCCTCTGGCATTTTAGTGTGACTTCCATTGTCAGTGTCACTTTGTACAAAATCGTTCAATTCAGACTTTATGTGGCTATTATCGAACTGGAAAGCAAATGTGCTATCTGGCAGTTGCAGTATAGTTTGATGTCTTGTATCGTCGTCTTCATCACTTGAGTCGCAAATTTCGACTGGATCATCCATGAAATGGTCATTATTCTGAGTTGAGTTCGACATCTGGGATGCATAAACGGCCATATTTGCAAATGCAACAAAAATGTTTTGCTCTTGAAATATTGCATTCATTTCAAATTGATCATACGTAAGCTTGATGCTGCAATAGTAATAAATTCATAAAACATCCATTGAGAATATTCGGTGGATATGTTTACTCACCGATCACTTGAAG